AGTTGCGATAACAATATATGCAAAAAACAACTCTACCGTTAATATATGTATCTGTATATCGATAACTAATAATCGTTAAATCGGTCAATTCATCGTATGCCAGCTAAATCCAAAATCCCTACGGCTTTTAATTAATTCTTATTACTTGTTTTATTTTTCTCTTCTCTTCTCTTTTCTTCGTTTCTTTTTTTGGTTTGCTTTCTAGCATTTTTCATTAGCTTTTTTCTGTAAACTAGGTATATACTCGTATATATATATATATATATATCGATTCTTTATTATGCTATAGTGTATAGTGCCATAAATGTTTGGGGTTGGTTTCGCTTACTTATCGCAATAATATAACGAATTCCAAATATTTACTCATAGATACATGCGATTTAATACTTTTGAGTTACCTTAATGCTCTATTGCTTTTGCTTTTGCTTTTGCTTTTGTTGCTGTTTCTGTTGTATTGCTTTTATCGTTAATTCTTCTCGTTTTGTTTTTTATTCATCTTCTCTATGATTATATACCATATACAATAGCTGTAAATAAGTTTTGCTTCCTCATATTGCTCTCCATTTTCGATTCATCATAATATACTACATATATATATATATATATTTTCAAAGTGTTAAGTCTTTCATCTTTGTTCTTGCTGTTTATTCGTTGTTTCTGCTTTTGGTTGTTTGATTTTTAAACTTTTCGAATTTACGAATTATTTTTTATTAGTTTATGTTCAATTCTTGAATTATTAGTGTTAACGTGCCAAGTCTTTTTAATTTTTTTGCTTTTTTGCTTTTGTTTTTGCTAATAGTTAATCATTGTTTTTTTGGTTGCCCAATTATTTATACATTGCTTTTGTGTGTGTGTGTGTGTGTACGTGTATTGGATACAAAAATAAATCACGCGGAATGCAAATTAAATTTTCGAATCAAATGCGCCCTGCATCACCCTAACGTTAGTGTTTCCTGCTCCCACCGGCCGCCCTCTTCCCATCATTGTGGAATGAGTTGTGGACACAGTTGGTGGGCCACGTGCTGACTGACGCAGTGGACCAGCCAGTGTTGGCATGGCACCGCTCCTCTCGCATTCCCCTTCCCCATCCCCATCCCATTGCCATTGCCATTCTCTCGTGCTCTCTCATTCATGGTGCTGTTCCTCTTTTTATTACATTTCCCCTTTGTTCGAGTACGCCTAACGAGCGCTCGTTAAACTGCATTGACACAAAAAAGGACAGCACAACATTGTGTTGCTGTGTCGGTGCCGCCCTGCCTGGCAGTGGCAGAGGCAGAGGCGGAATGGGGTGTGAGAGTGGGAGTGGGACAGGGCCGAAGGGTTGTCAGCAACAGCAACAGATAATGGAAACAATGGATCATGAACCTAATGCCACAAATTCTGAACAATTTTAACAATTGCATTTCCAGGTTGCGCTCTGGTTCCGATTACGATTACGATTACGTACGAGTATGTACAGTTGTGCCTGTTGTCCCACTCCCAGTCCCAGTGGGTGTGGGGTTCTGTTCTGTTCTGTGGTGTGGTGTCTGTGCTAAATACTATGCTACAAATGTATCAACTTTAACAATTTCCTTTTGTATAACAGTACATCATGATCCTGCAGAGAATCCATAACATGTGTGTGTGTGTGCGTGTGCGCGCGTGATTGGACAAACTGAAACATGTTCTCCTTCCCCCCTTCGATAACCAAATTTTGGATTAAAGCTTTTCCAAATGAATGTATGTTTCGTATGTGCATTCGTAAATATATTTTCGTATTATGTATGCATTTATGTATGTATATGCCTGGCCTGAGGGCTGAGGGTAATGTTATTTAGTTTTAGTTAAAAATCTCAAAATATTCCTCTTCTACTCCCACTGCACTATGCACTCCCCTAATTGTTATACTCTATGTATATCTTTTACCACTACGTTTTATTGCTTTTCGATACACGTTATGCTATGTATAGTTTCTGGATCTCAATATGAATTTGATTTCTCGTTTATTTTCCAATATCCTTTGAGCAAAATTAATGAATCTCGTGTGTGTTTGCGTGTGTGTGTGTGTTTCGTTGTGTGAGTGTGTGTGTGTGTGTGGGCTATCACAATATTCGAATTGCTTTGGGTTCATAATTCATCTTCTTACGGCTGTGTTTCCATCTAAAATCACTCAGCACAATAATTGTTTGAAGAAATAATCAAAATGCACAAGAAACAAATACACACAGAGTCCAGTAAAAATCAGAGAAACTATATTCAAAGCATATTGAGAATGAGTAAATGAGTAAGTAAATAAAAAACATTGTTTTGCATGTAAAGTGTAAGCATTTAATATGTATTGTATATATTTTTAAACTTTATATATTTTTGTTTTTTGTTTCCCATTTTGTATTTGTGGTTTTTGTTTTTGGGTTTACCTTTCGTTTATAGTACATGTGTGTGTGTGTGTGTGTGTGTGTGTGCTGCGATTGCTAATTGTAAGTAGTTTTAACCTTACAGTATATGTACTAAGACTAATAATCGATTAACTCGTTTGTTAAGTTAAGTTATTGCTTTCCTTTCCTTTGCTTTCTTTTCGTCGACTCGCGCTCTATACAATTGTTATACAAAATTTTTAAAATTTAATATTATTGCCGGACTTCAATTTCAATTTTAATTCAACATTCTCATAATGCAAATTTCATAAATATTCATTATATTGTTTCCATTTCCATTTTTTTTTTCGTTTAAATTTTCATCGATTACGAGAAATAATAGATCATAAATAATAGGTGACTATTCCTATATAACTAGGTATATATTAAATATAGTTAATTGTAATTTTAATTGAAATAATTGTAGTTTGTTTTGCGTTTTGCATGGGGTTTGTTGTTTTTTTGAGTATTGCTTTGGTACTTTAGCCGATTTCGATTTCGTTTTCGTTTTCGATTCGATTAATATTATTGCTTAAAGAGGGTTTGTTGCCGCCTCTCGCATCTCCCTCCTCCTGCTCCTACTCCTGCTCCTCTTCCTCCTTATTCCTCTTCCAATCAACAGTATAAAAATAATTTCGTGATTATATACTAGTTTAACTTACGCGTACATATCTGAATACTATACCCTATAAGTGTATATATATGTATATGTATATGTATGTATATGCTTTGTAAATATTACGCAACTACATACGTATTCTAGATGTATGTATATAGATTTCTATCATCTGTCTGTCCCCACTTAGACATAATACCAACAACTTTGGTTTTGCTTTTGGTTTTGGGTCGCTCTAAACTTGGCTACAACTATGGCTACAAAATGTTCGTTGCACTTCGTTCTTAACCCCCCTTCTCCACCCGCCACTTCATCGTCATCATTGAGATCGGTTGCTGAAGCTGATTTCAGTTGAGTATATAATGTACTATTTATGTTTATGTATAATGTATATGATGAAGTATGTTCTAATATTTACAGAATTTGTGCAGCGATTTGTTATATTTTGTTATGTGTGTGTGTGTGTAATGTGGTTGTGGGTGAGCTTGTGTGGGTATGAGTGTATGAATGAATGAATGAATAAATTATGGAATGGAATGGATTGGAATGGAATGAAACGTATATTGAGTTACAGTTAAGTAATGTAGGGTTAAGTAATATCATCGTACTAGATCGGTTAAGTGTGTTGAAAAGTGCAAAGTATTATAGTTCACGCATGGACGAAGTGTACTGTTAAATGCTTGAGACTAGATCACACTCGATATACTCGTATTGGTGTATTCGTATCTGTTATTCAGAGGGGCGCTCGAAAATGCGATCTCGAACACGATACGATTCTTTGGTCTTGCTCGCTGGCTGTATGTACTCCCAATTGGGCCTCTAACGGAATTCAATGCTAAATGTTATTTGCATAACTTGGGCTTCAAAAACTGGTAACTGGGACTGGGCTTTGGTTTAATATAAATGATAGATTTTTGGTGTTTTTTTGCTGTTGGACAGCGACTAGATGTTCACTTCTATCGTGAGTATTCTCTATAATAAATAATTGTACGAGTAGAGTATTCTCCCATGTTTCTCCTTCTGCGGTCTGCGGTCTGGGTCTGGGTCTTGGAATGCTAATTGACTAAAACGTATGCTCGTTGGATATGAATGCGGAGCCTTTCCGGGGGAAAATTGTGTAAATGAAAAGTCAGCCCAATATTCAGAAATTCCCTGCTCTGCATCTGCTCTTCTAGCCTTAAATGAGATCGGAATGAACTAATGGCGGGGACATGGACGTGGACGTTACCTATGTATATGTATGTATGTATTAACGTGATGATGCTTTCTACAAGGGTTATTAATGAGGGTGACGGAAGCGGTTCGCATTCGGGAAAACCCTCCTGTCGAACCGTTTCCAATACCTGGCTAATATTGCTTTGCGTTTCGTTAGTTTTTTTTGTATTCAATTTTTTTTTGATTAATTTGTTTTGTAAGTTTTTTGTGTCGTTGTTAATATCGAATCTAAAAATCTTTGAGTGCTTAAATGTCCGGCTACTGCCCTTTCAGTTGCTCTTTTAGTTTTTTTTTTTGGTGACTTAGTTTAAAATTGTTTGTTTGGTAGGTAGGCCCCACCCCCCCTCCCGCACACCATCATCACCAGCACCACCGAGTGGGGCCACCACTCGTAATATCTGCTTATAGATAGGCTGCCCTTAAGACCTAATTCGTTGTTTGAGAAACATTGCATTTGCTTTTGTAATTCGTTGCATTAATTTTAATCACTTCGTCATCGTTACGTTGTCGATTAAGGAGTTAGTGTTTAGTATTAGATTTAGAGTTAGATTTAGAGTTAGAGAGATAGAGAGATATTTTCATCGAGCTACAGTTAAGGTTTGTGGTTAGGGGTTAGGGTTAGGGGAGAGTGTTCTTGGAGAGTTATAGAGTTAGAGTTAGAGAGAGAGAGAGAGAGTTTTGGAGATTAAAAACTTGCTTTTTGCATCAGCTACAGATTATATATAGTACACTCTATATAGTATATAGCTAGATATATATATATATATCAGTATATATGTTTGTTTGTTTGTTTGCTTCGTTAAGTAGTTTTGGATAGATTAGATATAGCTGCGCTCTGGCATAGAATTGTTGCTTAGTTTTGTTCAGGTTTACGGAATGCATTCGGTATATAGCACCTCATACACAAGGCTCTCTGTGTTTGTGTGTCGTGTGTGTCGTGTATATATATGTTATATATGTGTATATGTATAGGGAATGTGGGGAATGTTTAGGAATGTTCAACTCTTCAATGCTTAACTTTATAAGAAGAACCAGATTGGATTGGTTAGGTGTTTTTGCTTGTTTTTCGTTTTGTTTCTGTTTCTTCTTTTCTGTTTTGTTTTTTGTTTGTTTGTTTGTTTTGCTGCCTAACGTGTCTAATGCGATTTTCTACAGTCTCTGTGTTACTCTACTACACTTTGCTTTTGGACGTATTGTGATGTATGCATCGTATTCGTATTCTATATAAAAACTGCTATCGGTTAACCTAGTTGTAAATGGTAAATGGTAACGGTAACTTTAACATTAACGGTAAATTAACTAACCAGCAGCTCTGCAGCCGTGCAGCCCTGCAGCCACTTCCACTTACTCAAACATTACATTGCCGCATTGCATTACATGGCATAGGTGTTGCCACCCAGTCCCGATCCTGCCACACCATTGGGGCACTCCACCTTGACGCGTTCGATGAACTCGTGCGGGGGCGAGGATGCCATGCTGGCGCCGCTCTCGCTGTTACTGTCGCCGCCGTGGCCGTGCAGCGACATGGCCATCATCAGCTCCTCCTCGTCCTTGAGGCAGGCCGACTCCAGGTGCTTGTTGAGGTACGACTTGAGCGCGAATGTCTTGTGGCAGCGCTTGCACTCGAAGTTCTTGTCGACGGAGTGCGTCTGCATGTGGGCGCGGAGGTTGGAGCGATCCGCGAAGGCCTTGCCGCAGTGCGCACAGCCGTACGGCTTCTCGCCCGTGTGGGAGCGCAGATGGCCCTGGAGCAGCCAGGGGCGCGAGAAGAGCTTGCCGCAGACGCCGCAGCTGTGCGAGAGTTTGTGCGTCAGCACGTGCATGGCCAGGGCCGGCATGGACACGTACGCCTTGCCGCATGTGTGGCACTTCTTGGCCGACTGCGAGTCCAGGGAGCGGTGCGTCTGCTTGTGGCGCGACAGGTTGCTGGATGTGGCATACTGCTTGCCGCACTCGGAGCAGGTGTACTTGGTCTTCTGCTGGTCCTGCACCACCACGGCGGCCGGATCGGCCACATGCTTCCGCTTGGAGCGTCCATCGCTCACGAAGAAGGCCTCGTAGGTATAAGCCACCGTCTTGGCCGCCTGCGTGCCGCCCGCCTCGTCATCGAGCGACCCGCCGTCGCACTCCTGATTCGTGTTGGTCGTGTTGCTGTTCTCATTCTGCACGCTGCTGCCACTGCCGCTGCCGCTGCAGCTGAGGATGCTGCCGTGGCTGCTGCTGGCCGGGCTGCTGGGCATCGCGTGCTGGGAGCTGGCACTCGAGGCGTTGCTCGAGGGGCGTTGTTCGTTCACCGCGCTGGCTGCAGCAGCCAATTCGGCAATCGATGACGTGCTCCGTAGATGCGCATGCGCCTCGAACGATGCGGAGTGGGAGTGGACCAGCGCGTGCTGCTGCTGATGCTGATGCTGCTGCTGCAGGGGCAGGTGATGGGAATGCTGTTGATGATGCTGTTGCTGCTGTTGCTGCTGCTGCAGCTGGTGTGGCTGCGTGGGCGGGTGGAAGGCGGTCGAGGCGCTCAGGTCCAGTATGGCGTGGGCGGCGTGCAGGTCCTCCTCGGCCGGTATCCGCTTGCGGTACCCCTGCGTCGGCTTGTCGTCCAGCGAGTACGGCCGATAGATGTCCTTCTTCTTTGGCGGCAGCGACAGCGTGGCTCCCGTGCTGCTGAAGCACTTGCGCTCACTCGACGTCTGGCCCGTTTCCATCTTGATGTGCGGACTGTAGCGATCCACCATCCGATCGCCGGCGCCGCTGGGCGAGCACGAGGGCGACGATGTGGTGGATGATGGCGGTGTCTGGTACGAGGCCAGGTGCTGATCTCCGGCCGTGCTGCTGCCGTTGCCGTTGGTGGCGGATGCCACCAGGGCTGTGGCCGCGGCACGGATGACGGTGATCTCGCTCTCCATGCGGGGCAGGTACGCGGTGTAGTGCAGCGGGGACAGTTCGCGGGTGTAGCCTGCAAAATGCGACATGGAGCAGACAGAAATGGATGTGCGTTAATTTTCTCTGGGATGTGTGCAACAGTTAAACACGCAGAGCAGCGCACAAAAGAGTGCTTTAATAAATACAAACCCCAAAGGTATGCTATAATTTATAGATTCTACTTTAAAGGATGTTTGTTGGATTTTTTTCACAGCTTATTTCTATACAAAATCTTTCTGGGATATCCTGTTGGGAGGGAGCACTGCGAACCCTTCAAAGAATTCAAATAATTTGCTGCTAATTTGTGGATTTTCTTTGACTTTTGAAGCCACCTTTGAAGGGTTCCAAGCTACCTAATTTCTATTTCTATGGGTGAGTTGAGTGGCGAAAGTTAAGCCCGAAGAAGAGCCAGAATTACCTTGGGTTCCCCTTGAAGTGTGCCCCCTGCTCCACCCACGGACTGGACAGGACAGGACACCCAAACAGCATTGAGTGACAACAAAGGCAATTAAATGAATTCGGAATTGTTTCGCAATCGAACAATGGTCGCATCAATGACAGCGATTACGTGCCTGCCCCGTGGCAAGTTACGCCCCGTACCCCCCACTCATTCCCGCACTCTCTTTCACTGGGAGAAAGTTTCCTGCGGCAAACTTACCGTTGTAAACATTGCTGGCCACTCGCGTCGCCGCCTCCGGGGAGTGGGGCGGCGGACTGGGCGCCGTGGTGCCCGCCGTGGGGGAGCTTGGACCCCAGCACTTGGCCGATGTCGTGGTTGTTGCTGTCACTGTTGCTGTTGCTGTTGTGCTCTCGCTGTTGTTGTTGTTGCTGCTGCTGTTGCTGCTGCTGTTGCTGCTGCTGTTATTTGTGGCTTCTGCGGCGGTGGCTGCTGCTGCTGCTGCTGCTGCTGTTGCTGCTACTGAGGCAATGGTTGTGCGTTGCTTTTCCAACTTGGTCAGGAATTTATCGCCCACAACATCGATCTCCTCGTCATCGTCGAGGGTGGAGCGACGCGATTTGAGATGCGACAGATCTTCATCTCTGGAAGTAGTCGATGTGTTTGTGGCATGTTGCTGCTGTTGCTGCGGCTGTTGCTGCGGCTGTTGTGTGTTGTCCTCGGACCGATCCAGCCAGGGATAGGCCTTCCATTTCTTGGCTATCAGGCAGCGTGGCATCTTGGCTAACGGAAGCGGCAAAGGTAAAGGCTAAGGCAAAGTCAAAGGCAGCTGTGAGGCTGAGGTTTAGTGCTGTTGCTGTTGCTGTAGCTGTAGCTGGAGGAGCGTTGGATCCAGGTCGATCCAAGGGAGGAGCGGTAGTAAAGTGCTGAAGCGAGTTTCGATTTTCGAACGAGCAAAGACCGTCTGAGGGATATTCGTTGTTGGGGGTGGCAAAGCGGAAAGGAAACGTTGCTGATTTTATTTCGCAAGAACTGATGACGCATGTGAAAATAGATTTGGCTCGCCGAAAGTATCTTAGAGATTTACTTGTACAGGTTGTCGGGACTGGGCATACTGCTGACTGCCGTCTGCTGTCTCTTCTCCCGTTTGTTGCCTCCTTTAAGTTTAGGTTCGCATTTTTTGGATTGGATTGGGTTTTGTTGTTTTGTGTTTTTTGGTTGTTTGTTGTTACTTTAGATTTGGTTTGGTTTTTGTTGGTTAGGATTCCTCGGATTTCACAGCCACTTTACACATTTCTGCGCTTGATTCGTTGTCAGACCACCTGGCACCCAGACCCGTATCCGTCATTGAGTTTGGCTGGGAGTTGGGAGCCACGTTTTGGGTCAGTCCTCGGCGCTGCTGCTGCTGCTGCTGGTGCTGCTGTTGCTGCTGCTGCTCTCCCATACACGGACCCGTACCCGGACACAGACACTTTCACGTACACGGGACACGGACACGGACACGGGACACGGACACGTTGCTCGCGTTGGCTGCGTGTGGCTTATCGATTTTTACATTTGCGTTTACGTTTACGTTTGTTTTTACACGAAATGGACTCAAAACATAACGCTTTCGGTTCGGCTTGCTGCGGGGGGTGGTCTCCTCTCCGATTTGGGTTCGATTTACGAGCGTATATACATATATATATATATATCCTTCGGCTGTGGCTCTTATTGCCTCGTTTTGTGGCTCGTTTGTTGGTTTGGCTTTTGTTGTTGTTGTTGTTGGGAAACAATTTGAAACCAAAAACTTTGTCGAGTCAAAAATAAATGTTTATACGGAAAGTATAGCTTTAGTTGTAGTTTTAGTTTTAGTTTTAGTTGCAGTTGTAGTTGTTGTAGTTTAAGGTTTAGTTTTAGGTTTAGGTTTAGTGGTAAAGGTTAAGTGAGGTTGACGCGAGTTGAGAATAGTTTGAGTTGTTGTTTTTGTTGTTATTATTGTTGTTGTTGTTGGTAGTGAAAAAATTGATTTAGGAGGAAAATATAATATTATATAAGATAGAGAAGAAATGCGAACGAACCGAATGCTTGAATGCTTATGAGAGGCCAACTGAACGAAACCCCGCTTATAAGGGTTGTTCAAATGGGGCGGCAAGGCCGTGCATTTCCAGCAACGCCCGGCCTCAAATGTTGCTGGCCGTTGACAGCAAAGCAACACGGCCAGTGTTGCTGACTTAATGTTGCCAGCCGACACACTGAACGAAGAGCAGAGCGAGAGCGAGAGAGCATAAGAGAGCGGAACCAACCATTCAGCCCCTAAAACAGCAACCCCCAACAAATGGAACCGTAGCTGTTGCTATTGCTGTTGCTTGTCCTCAAGCCACTGGCACACGTTGCAAATGTTTAAACTTCCACAAAATGTTGATCAAATCTAATGAAATTTTATTGAAATACCTGAAATAAAGCAAACTTTTATTCTGTTTAGTTTATTTTGTTTCATTTTTATGGCATTACAGAATTGTTTAGCTTTTTTTAGAACATGTTTGACAGTGCAGAGCCGCCCCGGGAGGCGACAAGGCAACAATCAGGAAGTGTTTCACTCTGGCCAAAAATTGTTGCGCCTCTCTCTCTCTCTCGTTGTCTCAGGACATACCATACTCGTACCTGAATTGGCTCATGGCGCTCTTTTGGCTCGGGGCTTGGTACTCCTGCTCCTCCTCCTGCCCTGCTGCTGCCTGCTGCCTGCTCCCTTTTGTTATTAAGCATTACACAGGGTGGATTTTCGCAACAGCCTGCCTGCCTGCCTGCCCCGCCGTCGCTCACAGAATGTGGCAGTTGTGCCGAGTTAATTGCTGTTGCATTGCATTTGTTGCTCCGTTCTGATTTTCAACAAATTGCCAGCGACGGGGACGGCAACGCCTGTGGAGGGGGAAGCAACAATGCTGGGTCCTTGCCTGGCTGGTCCTTGCTTCTAACTCAGTTAGTACAAGATAAACAGCAAACTAACTCCTGTCGCTCCATGTCACTACATTGCCCCCGCTGCCCCTGCTGCCCACCATTGCCTCTATGTTCCTTTTGGCTCTCCACTGGGCATGAATAAGTGGTTTAGTTTCTGGATCAAAGGTCGGAATGTGGACTCAAATCGGTCTATGATTAATTGCAGACTGGTTGGACAGAGTCCGTTTTGATTGACAGCTGGATGTGTCATATGTCACACACCGACAAAAATGAATGTCTTCCAATTTTGAGCAAGGATTCCTGTCCAAATATTTACACTACAAGTTTTTAAAGAGTTCTGCCCTTTGGGGTTTTTCCTCTTTTGCATATAACTTATATCCATATATCCGATCTCCCATCTACATACATATTGGGTGCATAATCTCTTCAACTTCGTTGAGAGACTGGGACTGCACACACACACAACAAACTATTTAATTAAAGTAGAGTCTTGGATTGGCAGAAGGCAGAAGGCAGAGCAGAGCGCACAAGCGGGTCTGCATAATTAGACACTTAAATTACAAAGTTCTTAACCTTTTAATTAGCCAGAGAGACAACAGACAATTTGTCTGCCAACCGACTAACTTTCGCAGCGTCACAGAAACACCCAACAGAGGCTGCAACACGATGATGCGGTGGCAGCACTTTAAATTTCATATATTTTTTTTTTTGTTATGGGAATTTCGTTTCTGGTTTTTCTATGGTATCCCCATGCCGATGCGTCCTACTGCTGCCCCTCCTGCCGGGCATTGTGACAGATGCAACCTCTTTTATACGGTTTCCCTGCTTAAACAAATTCGAATTTGGATTGGAATTTGGAGGAAAGCCAAGAAGTGCCCCGCAACCAATCTGCTCGTACATATCTATCCATCCATCTCGCGGACATGACAGTCGACTGGTAGTACATAGTAGGGTCAGGGCCATAAGGACCTCTTCGTGAATTCCTTGAAAATGAATGTCTATGTAAATATGAATGCTAATGTAACGTATAGGCCATCTGTGGAATTCGACTGCACTAATTACAAGAAAGAATAAATGGGGTTTGGGGTTGGGCTTGGGCAGCTCCTGCCTGTATATGGAAGCCCTAGGTATGCGCCCTGCGCGATGGGTAGGTAGGTCCTTGTCACTTTTAGCTAAGAAAAAACCACTCGCATGGCACACGGCCTCCTTCTAAATGGTAATCTGCTTTTCCAGCCAACGGCCAACAGACTTGAAGGCGAATGTGGCACAAGATGCGCTTTAGACAACCCGACAACGAAATTGTTGCGCTTCGTTAGCCGCACTCCTCCACCCAGGACTAAGACCAAGACCAAGACCTGGGCCTGGCCTCGCCTTGCCTCGATCCTTAGATCACCGCTGGCCACGCGCACCCGCTGCCAGCGTTGCAGATGTGGAGGCAGTGAGGCGATTCAAGCTCTGGCCCATAGAGCATTCCATATACGGCATATAGCATATGGCTTTGGCTGCCGAATTGGAACTTACTCGTAGACACGCGTCACCGACAGGAAAGGAAAGCAACGACCAAATTATGCAGCAGCAGCAGGGCTGGCCGGGCCGGGCCGGGCCGCATGGGCGGACAGAGGGAGGCGCTCACCTGGAACAAGGACAATATGGTTAATGCAGCGACAGCGCCTTTCCTGTTTCATGTTTTACGAGTAGTTCTGCATACCATGTATAGTCTGTGGTGTGTTCTGTACTGCCTTGGGTGCTATTAGTCTTTGTTTTTATACCTCTTTTATACCCTGCCCGGTGGGGGGTGCCGCAGCCATGGCTTTGCCCAGAGTTAAACGACTTTAAAGGGGCAAGTATTGCCTGCTATATATGGGTATAGATATCCAGAAGAATTTCATGGCTCCATATTCATTATATATCCAATATTCGATTAATATCTGATAAATATATAGAAATATTTTTTGCTTTAAAAATAACTTTCCATGCGGCTTAAAACTGCTGCAAGGGCATTTGGGATTTCGGTGTGTTAAAGCTTGTCTCCTTCCCTCAGGGGGTAATACTTTTTTAGTTTATTTAGTTTTCAAGGGGAGGTGGGTGTGGGGGTGGGGGTGGAGAGCACTAAGAGGCTAAGCAAAGGTGCACCGCAGCCCCGTTGCGGGGATGCAGTTGAGCGCGTTTGCGAGCGTGCAAAAAGCAGCAGCCGCATGCAGGACCAAGACCAGCAGCAGGAGCAGGAACAGGAGAAGGGGCAGGGGCAGGAGCAGGAGCAGGAAATGCTCTACAAGTGCTGTGCTGCAGCTGGCCCAGCTGTTGGCTGTTATGGCTTTTCCTTGGTGATTTTGGGTGCACCACTCCAGACCCACTCCCACTACACCCCCCCCTCACACACGTATGTACATATGTACATGCAGTTCCTATTTGGCTTGTCAGCTTGCCAAAGGCTATTTGGCGTTGCCTAGCGCTGGCTCAAACTACGACTATTACGGGCTCCCAACCCACTCTCCTCTCCTCTCCTCTTTGGCTCCATATCCGTCTCTTTCTACATAACTCACTCCATCTCGCTCTCACATGAAGTGTGACGCTCGCGTGGCACGGAAGTGACGGCGGCAGCTGTAGCCAGAACTATAACCAGAAACTGTTGATCCTTTCCTCTGCCTCGCCCTGCCGCCTGCCACCAGCCAACAGCCAACAGCCACCAGCGCACCCAACAGAACAGAGCAGAGCAGAACGAACAGAACAGAACTCAAAGGCAAAGACTGTGGCATGAGGCAGAGCCCAAGCGAGCCAGGTGTCTGGCATGCTCATTCCGTTTTCCATTCATTCAATGATGTATTAAAGTGGAAACAGCACGGGTGTACGAGTACCAGACAGAGTCTGGGTCTAGGTCCGGGTCCGAGTCTGATTCTGAATTGTAGCTACACTCTCTCAGCCAGCCAGAGAGCGTACGGCACATCCTGTGGCGTCTGCAGGAGATTAAGGGTTACATTTTGGAATAAATATCAAGCTGCAGATATATGAAATATATTTTATATAGTTATATAGTCCCTAAGGATCTACCTATGAGAGATAGAGCATGAAATACTGAAACACTTTAATTGAATTAAAGCAATCGCTGGATCTGCTGCTGCCCCTTGTACGTGTATATTCTGCTGTAGTTTATGGCAACATAAACCCATCAGCTTTTGCCCTACAAAGGAGAGTATTCACGCTTCGTTGGCTCGCCAATTGACTTCGCTTTCATCTTTATTGTATTCGCGTTGTCTGTCTGTCAGTCTGTCTCTCTGTCTGTCGGTGGGTCGGTTTTTGGTCCCTGTACAACCAACTCGTACCTCTGAGCCGCCGTGGTCTCGGTCTCTCCTCCCGGACGCTGTCGAGCATTTTCCCAAATGCTATTTATTCCTGTTTCTGCTGTAATTTCATTGTTACTCCTTTTTGAATGGCTTTGCAACCACCCCATCCTGGTAGTAGTCGTCGTCGTCATCATCATCATCATCAGCAGAGCAACAGCGGCACGGCAGCAGCAGCAGCAACAGCGGCAGCAACAGCAACAGCAACACCACCACCACCTCTCACAGGCACCACCCAACCACCCCGTTTTTGGCATTTTTTGGCGTCTGCATAGAAACAGCAGCAAACAGGTAGGGCAAAGCAATTGGGAATAAAAAGAACAACGGGCCAAATAAAGGTGGGTTTACGTCATCGCCCGAAATTGCACTTTGCCCAGTTTTGATGGGCAAACTTATTAGCATATATATCCTGCAACAGGATATAGAAGCTCCTGCCTCCTCCTGACTGCCTCCTGACTGCCTCCTGACTGCCTCCTGACTGCTGAGTGCTGCCACTCACTCTTGCTGCTCCTGCCACCACTTGTGCGGCTTCCACAGCCCAAAAACTGGACACACGCGTTCGAGTTGTGTGTTGAGTTGAGTTTTGAGTTCAGTTACCATTCCGGTAATTCGAAACTTTGTATTTTTAATTACATTTGTTTCGGGCTTTCGGCTGAATCGGGTGTTGAGTCGGGGAAATCTCACTGCCCGGATAGGGATTCTCTGCTCGGGGATCCTCTGCGCTGGCTGGCTGCCTCCCTCCATGCCACAATCGACAGCGACTCCTTCCTCCTGCAGCAGGCAGCTG